TAAGATCCTCAAGGGGATGAGTTAGTTATCACATCATGCTATTTGTTATTTTTTTATTTTTTTATTCTTATACATTCCCTGTGGAACATAGGGCTTCATTCAAGCTAGAGACTCAAAGTTTCGCTAGCATTGGTGTTTACTTTTTACGGGATAGGATTGCTAGCTAGCCTTATGCCCAACCTTCCTTTTTTTGCCAGTCTTATTTCTGGCTTAGTGATGTAAAGGAGGAGTGCGTCGGTGCCGGGGATCGAACCCCGCATCATATGCGTGATCAGTGAGCATTCTACTGCTGTCCTACCGACGCAGTAAACATTATTAGGGCGAGGCACATGCTTATAGCACACAATCCATTAGGGGTCGCGTACTATCCCATCCATCGCCCCTGACAGATCTGGCAACAAAAGTCACGAGAACATACCATCAGACACCCCAAATGACAGGTTAGGTATCCCATTTGTGTTATAGTTAATTATTATAATTATGTAACGACTAAAATCGATTCGTTGTGGTTCTGAACTGAGGAAATCAACTTTTGTGTATCCTATTGTGTTATATAAAGCTGACTGAAGTGAAACTTCCTTGAGACACACTCACAGCAAAAGAGACAACACACGCTTATTCGTCGTAACATCAATGTGATTCTATTCAACACGAACATCAACACCACTACCACTAACAACAGCAACATTAACAACATCAAAACCACTCAAAATTACGTCAGCAGTGTACCGTTAGACAGCGTGTTAAAGTCTAGATACTTTTCTATCAGAAGTATAAAGCAACTGTACACTGCAGAATAAAATTAGTCAACCAAAATTCAACTGTAAGAAGTGAAGTACACCCCTTAGAATCAAGTAGAATATCCCCCCAACAAGGTGTGGGATGAAACACCCCACGTCTATGGTGGCTGGCTGGCTGGTTTCAACATAGAACTTGGCACCAAAGTGCAGCAGTTCGAGTTGCCACGTTCCAAATACCACACAAAGGTAGACAAGAAAATGAGTGAAGAGAATCAGTAGAGTTTTGACAAGTATAAGAGTGAAACAGATTGAGTAATGGTAGAAAGGAATATGAAAGATTACAGAGACTGAATACGTCTGCGTAAGCCATTGACAACGATTTTGAGCCATGTCACCTATTGTCTCCAGCCTTCATTGATTCTTAGAGTCCCGAGGGCGGGTCCCAACCCGGAAGTCTGTATCTTCCTACCTGACTCAGTTTAACTGTCGAGGATTTCATGGATTGATGAGGCCATGTTTTTGTTTGGCCACCACTTTTTTCCAACCTGCACCTATATCAGCTAGTAATGCCCGTCCGTCGGGGGGGGGGGGGGCGATGGCTAGGCATGTGCAGCACGTGACCTAGCCATCTCAATCTATGTAACTTTATAGCCTCGTCGATTGATTTTCCCTCTTAGCCCAACACTCGACGCCTAACGTCAGCATTACTTACCTTATTACGCCACCTAACGTGAGAAAGAGATCGTAGACATCTATGATCAAAAACAGTCAACCTTTTCATGTCTTCAACTCGTATTGGTCATGTTTCAGAGCCATAGGGAAGGACGGAGTGAACTGATGAGCAGTATACACGTCCCTTGGTTGATAGTTGGATGTCACGGCTACGCCAGAGATGGTGTAAGTTAGCGAAAGTAGCTCGAGCTTTTTGGATCCGTGCTGAGATTTTGTCACCAATTAATCCGTTGATGCTGACACAACTTCTCAAAAAGGTGAAGTGGTCCACGTCCATAAAATATCACGAACTGAACAGCTGTGTTGCATATAGACAGTTCACAATGTTAGAATGATGAATAACCTTGATTTACATTGTAAAACAGCAGATTATCATCAGTGTGGTGGTGGTGCATAATCACATAGAGAAGCCATGAAATTAAAAAAAGATTAAACTGAGAGACAAAAAAGACAAATAATTTTAAAAGACGAAGTTGTCATCATCGTCATCGATATTGCAACATGTAGGAACAATGATAAACAATGATCTAAGAGGGAAACGGATTATAATAATTACAGTGGAGAGATTTCCCAACTAATTAATTATTCCGTTACAATAGAAGATACGGATTATCTAAGATGGCTGCATTGTGAATAACAACTATGTCATGATAACTCATATTCTTACATGATACGAACTTACAGTGTGTTGTTGTACCTTTTTGACTTAAATTAACTAACTCATAGATAAGTTCGCTGATTTTTATTCACTGAGAGTAGCGTATAACTTTGAATCTGGGGGGGAGGGTAGGCGGGAAGGAGAAGAAGAGATACTAGTTTCCCCCAAAGGCTGGAGATGAGATCTTCTAATGAGTGTTAGAAGTGCCGAAACTCACCTTATATAGTTAGAGTGAGTTCACTACTAATGTGTGTATAAATGAGCAACAGCAACACTATCGACACATGGTGATTGAGGTGTAATAACCCAACCAGCTATACTGGCTGGTGTGAGGACAAATACTCGCCGAAGACATTGACTAGGGGTCGCGCTATGTCGTGAATTGGCAGAAGTTAGAATTCATGGGCCATTGGATCGGGTCCCAGTGGCTTAACGGAATATGAGCTCCCCTTGTAGCCAGAAGGTCCTGGGTTCGAATCCCGGTGGGTGCGTACTGACGAAGAGTCCCAAACTAGAACGGGGGAAACAGCTGTCCAGTACTCCCTGGCAGGTTTTCCAATGGTTCTCTAACTAACGTCGGCTCATGATGAAAATCCTGTTCCATATTAGTTTGTTTATTAAGTGTATCACACAGTCAGTGAAACAGTATCACTATTTACTGGATGACAAGGTTTCGAACACAATCTATTATTGTTCATAATCATTTCATCAGTTATAATCACACGACTTGGAAACTTGAGTCTTATAGTTTTCTTTGTTCTCTCCTATTTATCGTCGTAGGGGTAGTAGAATTTTCCAGATATCTGCCTGGACAGATGTTGAAACACTCCTATTACACGTGTTGATTCGATAAACAAAGCTTCCGTTGTTATCAATCTCTCCCTCCACCCTGCTGTTACATTAGATTTTAAAACTGTCATCCTATCCCATCCAGCCTATTGTATGGTTGTGTGTGATTGCATATGGTGCTATAGCTACACATATGTATATATTATATGGAACCAGTGTTCTTGCAGCAGGTCCTACTACTCTGTAAGGGTTGCAACGGAATTATTGATTAACAGCTTGATACATATATATATATATATATATATATATATATAAACGAAATACCTCTGCAATAGGGGAAGATAAGACACTTGGTAACGGACTTTTATTAAGAAAAAACGCATCAATATTTATACATCCTTAGCCATATTATTAAAGTTTGGCTAGGTCAGAAGTGAATAATATATTGTTCTGTAAGTTTGGCCCACGGTGTTAAACAAGTTGTCCAATGAGGTTTCATGTTTCCATTGTCGTTTCACAAACATCGTCTCTCTGCCATTCGATATTCTTTCAGATGATGTACATGCTTGTATCTGCATTTACACACTACTTATAAATCTTTTCAGTATTGCACGCCACACTACCATACCAAGGATGCCGTTTAGATATTGATTCAACTGAAAGTAGTAGTTACCATTCTAGTGTAAATTGTCTACATTATGTTGGGAAGAGAGGAGGTATTTGGAAGTGAAGTCTTACTGCTGACTAATAGGGCTGTAATACAACAGTCAGGTGTCTCCCTGATAGGACCAGGAAGCCACATATGCTGCTTCTCAGCCCTGGAGGGGACAGTTAGAGAATTTCGAATGAGAAAATAGGATAACTTGACAAATTTTGCAGTAGTTAACATCTTCATAAGCTCTCACACACACAATAATAATAATAATAATAATTTGCTTTATTCCAAAACAGTATCTGAGATACAGAATGGAATTCTCAACATTTTTACTACAGTATTGCATCCAGTTAGTACATTATCAATAAATAAAATTCTACATGGATTAAGGAAATCTCAGTTCATCATAACAACAACATATTGGCATGTCGGTAGCAAACGTAAAGCTGAACAGTGTTTGAAGGTGTTAGAAAAGTAGGTGCTGTCATATTTACTGGCGTAAGCGGAAGAGAGAAACAAAGCAGCCCATAACAGAAAAAAAGGAGAGAGAGAAAAGGAAAAGAAAGAAAGAAAATGTTGTACCTATAAATGATATGGGTTGGAAAGACGAGATTCAGTTGTTCTACTGACTATTTAATGAGTTATAGGTATCACGCATAATGTTTTCTTTATCGCACAGAACACGAGCTAAGTAGGGTATGGTTGAGTTTTTGTACTTGCTAGTGCGAGCATATAATTTTCTATATAGGCTTCTGGTTTTGCCTGCTGAGATACAAAGGGAGAGTTGTGAATGAAGAGGGTGATGTGAGTCAAATAAAATGGATTTGGCCCATTTTTCACATGAGTGCATGTGCCTGTCGACCAGAATATTAACAAACTGGTTAAGTGGCACATTGCTTACCCTGCTGACAACCTTTAACATCCTGCGTAATATGTTATAGTCTTTCTTCAGTAGCCCGGGAAAAACTAAGGGGGAAAAATAGAGGATAATAGGCAGGATTCAAGAGTTAACGAATCGTAAGCGTAAGGGTTGAGTTATTCCAGAATGTCTTAACGTCTTGATGTAGAAGGTAAGATGGAATATTTTCTTAGAAATCGTCAAGATATGAGACGACCAGGAGAGACCAGCAGATAGAATGACGCCTGGGTATTAAATTTCCGATTTGGTTTCTATTTCAGTGCCGTTTATGTTGCACAACTGGAAAAATCATTTCAAACAGATTTTGTGTATGTATGTATGTGTGTGTGTGTGTGTGTGTAGTCAGCCTCAAACAGCTCTCATCTTTGACTCTACAGTCATGCTCATTCTGTTTGTTTTTCTTTTCCGGGTATTTCACGGAAGATGTCTGCCAGTGTAGATGTTTGTTTTAGTTAATTAATTACAATGGCGTGAATTTGTGTTTTTGTTTTGTTAATTCATCAATAGAACTTAACGGGGAATTCGTCTTCATCTAATTGTGGTGGTAGTGTGACAGATGTTGTCCATCAAACGCCGCCTGTATCGTCATCATCGTTGAAGAAAGACGCTGTTAACAGGGATAATACAAATATCGGTGATCATCATCATCATCATCAGAATGATGGTGCTGCTGCTCGTGTTGTCGATGATGATGATGATGATGAAAAATTCGCTATCCATTTAGATAATAATCTATTCGATGAAGAGATAGAAATGCTTACAGATAAAGATATCGACAATAGGACAAGAAACAAGAACAAGAAGAAACAGTAATGTGATGACAAGACAAGGCAAGGCAAGGCGAAGTGACGTACTGTCTCACTCACTCACTCTCACTCACAAACACACACACACATACACTCATACAAGTGCACTTGTTACTAACTAACATAGGATGGATGTCAATAATGATCATTTCAACCGGTTTAATTTTGTTTTTACTCTAATAATAATAATAATAATGACGACGAAGGTAACATTTGATGTTGAATACCATTCATAAATTCTCAAAATACATATCTTTTTTTCCAATTTTTTTTTAATTAAAAAAACAGACAATTTTACATTTTTTTCGTATACACACGTATATACTACTAACAACTGTGATAAACAGTAATATATATTTGTCTGATCAAATTTCTTCGCCTAATGTGTTTTGCAAATTTTGGTCAGGATGTGTGTGTGTTCTGTTGTGTTGTTTGTATTTGTCTGTGTATGCTTGTGTGTATGTATGTTTATTTCATTTTGACAAAAGTATTAGGCGTTGTAATAATAATAATGAATGGATAACTTTCTCATGAGAAAATGTTCTTGTTTTATTATATTGGGCTCTTGTTTTTTCTGGGATTTTTAAAATGTAAATCAACGGCGATGATGATGTGGTGCGTGTTCTTCTTTCACGTCTGTGATGTGTAATAACAATGAGATTTTTGTGTGTTGATCATTATTATTATTATATTATTGTTCCCTTGGGTTCCTAGTGGAACATAGAGCTTCGGCTGCACGTCTCCACTTGCTGCTTCTGTCTTCTGCTGTACTTTTCACTTGCATCCATGTTAGTCCACACTGTTTCAACTCTTCTTCACACGATCTCCTCCATGTCACCCTTGGACGTCCCACTCGCCGCCGCTTCCCTTTCGAGTTCCACTCGAGCGATGGCCTGACGCGCGATGTCACCCAACGGCCTCCTCAGCGAGTGTCCAATCTATCTCCACTTTCTCCTGCATATTTCTTGAGCGATTGGTTCTTGTTTTGTTTGTTTGTTCCCATAGTTTCTTGTTGGTTCTTGTTCTTTCCGGCCATCTGATCTTCAGTATAGAGCCAGCGAAGACAGTTGTTGATAAAGGTCTGCAACAGGCTGTTGGAAATATTCTTTGTGACTCGCCAGGTTTCTGATCCGTATAGAAGGACTGACTGACTTGACGTTTGTATTGAAAATCCGAATTTTGTTGTTGATGCTGACTAACGAGGATTTCCAGATTGGTTTCAGGTGGATGAATGTGTTTCTCGCCTTCGCGATTCTCGATTTGACATCCTCGTCCGTTCCACGGCCTGTAGTTGAGACAATGCTCCCTAGATAAGTGAACGAAGTAACCTCTTTCAAATCCATCTCGTTGATGGTGATTGGCACTGGATGTTGCTGCTGTTGTTGTTGTTGGTTGGTTATTTTCCTAACCTCCGTCTTGTTAATGTTCACCTGGAGTCCTGTCTTTGGTGCTTCTTCGACCAGTTTGTCGGTTTTCGCTTGTAGGTCTTCGATTTTGTGTGACATCAAACATAAATCATCCACCAAATGCAGGTCTTCTAGGTTCTTCACGTCGGTCCAGGATATCCTTGTCTTCTCGTTTCCCACTGTTTGACGCATAATCCAGTCCAGTCCACCACAATTAGGAATATAATCGGTGATAATGAGCACTCTTGTCTGACTCCTGTGTTTACTCCAAAAGCCTCGCTGAGTTTTCCGTTGTGGATCACTCGACATGTGCCGTTGTCGTACAGATGTTGAATAAGGTTGATGAATATTTCAGGTACGCCGTAGTACTCGAGTAGTTTCCGAATTACTTCGTGGTCAACGCTGTCGAATGCCTCCTCAGAGTCTATAAAGTTGAAGTAGAGATTTGATTGCCATTCCATGCTTTATTCGATGATGATGATGCGTAGAGTTGCAATTTGGTCAGAACACGATTTGCCTTTCTTGAATCCAGCTTGTTCTGATCGGAATTCTGCCTCCAGTGCGTCCTTTATCCTCTCCAGGATGATGCGACTCAGAATTTTACTTGGTGTCGACAGGAGCATGATTCCTTGCCAGTTGAGATCAGGTTTAATTTCAGTGTATATTTTGTCATGAACGAACACCAGCGGTTAGGGATGATTGATAAGTGAGTAGTACTGGATAGCTGTTGCGTCCTAGTTTGGTACTTACTCTTCACCAGGAGGATTGTTAGTCAATAAAGAAATATAAATTTTGAGGTAGAGGGAGAAAGGTGTGTGTGTGTGTGTGAAAATAATTGCACAATTTAAGACCGGTTAACTTGTAGCTGTTAGCAAGAATTTATTTATCAGATAGTGTGTAGTTTACAAAATAATAATCAAAAGAAGAGGGGAGATCCATTAATTACTTAAGAATTATTGTTCTTATTTTCACTCCCTTTGGTTCCAAGTGGAACACAGGACTCCTATAGTACATCTCCATGTTTTCTTCTTCTCTGCAGTCTTTTCTATCCGTATCCATGACTGCTCATAGGCTCTCATCTCACTATTTTCTCTCTGTCACTCCTGGACAGGCCACTCACCGTTTCCCACTTACGGCCTGTTACATAATGTCACCGAATGGTTTCCTTAGTGTTTGTCCGATTCATTTCCACCTTCTTCATCATATTTATTGAGCAATAGGTTCTGTCTTGTTTGGTTAGTTCCCCCCGAGTTTCTTGTTGCTGGTAGTCTCTTTTTTGGCTGTGTCTGATCTTCATTAAAGAGCCAGCGAAGACAGTTGTTTTGATAAAGAAAGGACTGAAGCCTGTTGAAGTGTTTTTGAAGGGACGTGTCAAGTCTGGCTAATATAGATAGAAAGAAGAACTGATTAGTTAACATTACTGTTGAGAATTCTAGTTTTGTTCTTTCTGCTGAATATGCAGAAGATTTGCGAGTGATGAAGGTCTGCTTGCTTGGCCTTTCCTTACATCTAAGAATAGTAAGATTCAAATAATCGAATTGAATGAGCTTGGATAGTAATTATAACAAAATAACAGTGTCAAATGATACTTATAAGGAAGGAAGGAAGGATAAAACAATTGATTGAGATGGCTAAGAGACAGATGTGTTACACGCATACACACCGAGCCATCGCCTCACTTGACTGGCAATAATACTCCACATAGGATTAAGTTGGGGAAAGAGTTAAACGGTAGTCAAACTGACAACTTAGAATCATTCCATGCAGTCTTTTACCGTTGGCATAGGGGAGGTGTTGGCTGCCTTATTGGAGTCCCCGAGGTGACTAGCTGGAAACTGTTTGGTGTTTTTACTGACAGTCGTTCTAAGAGACACAGACGCATTCATCCTTTGTGATCCGCATATCAATTAGATCCTCGTGTTTTTCCATGTGAGTAGTGTTGTCTCTTCCTCCCGTGGATTTCTGCTTGTTTTATTTCTTGTCTCTCCTCTCTTTTGTCGACCTTTGTGTGCTAAATTGATTGTAGCAACTTGAACCGCTGCACTTCTGTGCACAATTCTCTTTTGAAATAAATTATAATTATATTTCAATACTTTACACACAATGATAAGTTTTTATTTTTGATAATATTTCCGTAGTGAAATTACTGCCCGTGATCACACCATACCATACCATATAAAAAATTGTACATCAGAGGCAATTTTAAAGAACCGCAAACATAATGGGATTGGCACAACGTTTAAACCAACGAATCTAATTAAAAATAAAATAAATCAACTGAAAGATCTGTAGCGGTAGGTGGCAATTCCCCAGAATTATTATTATTATTATTAATCACCGAAGATTGGGTGCTAACCGCTACTTTTTAAGTCGACTTGTTTAGCTAAAGGCTTACGGTGAAGGATCGACGCCATTTAGCACGCCGTCGTGCACGATCCCTAGCTAGCTAAGCAATCATCTCGCACTCAGATTTGGTCCCGAAATATAACTCGTAATTTGGACGATCACTTCTGGTGTTTTTCTTTGCCTTTCTTTGGTCTACTTGGAACGAATACTGTATAAGTTTTGGGCAATTGATCGTGCGTTAGTATAAATCGTGCTATCCGTGAACGTCAACACCCTCAGCCATTAAAGACTCAATAAAAGTGATGGATAGAAGTGTGGTGAGAGCTGTCTACTAGCCAAATCGGTAGACAGTAATTTACGTCAATATTTACGTTCCCAAGATTTGTCGTGAGAAAATGTGAACAAAGATTGATTCAAAACCGACCAGAGCAGACTTTGCGTAGGCGGATGCAATTACCATATAGAGGATTTGACATTCAAGAAACAGTCACAAATAGATGAAAGATTAACTTTACGTGAGAAACAACCAATCGGAAGACTGTGTTTGTTTACTTAAATTTCCATAGTAATGTACATGAAAACATATATAAATCTGCATTGATTTCCTTAATAAATGATCTGTTGCCTGACTCTTGCCTTCTGTCGTTACAGAAGTAGTAATGTATGTAATTTAAGAAATATCTTGTGCCGAGTGTCCGATTAAATATGCGGGTCAAACGTGCAGATCACTCAAAATAAGAGTGAAGGAACATAAACACTTAACTAAAGGTCATCCGACAAGAAAACAATCTTACAAGAATTTAGAAAAAAAATCGTCTATAGCTGCACGTGAATGGGACAAAAACCACAATATTGATTGGAACAATGTTTGTATTCTAAAAACTGATATGAACACCGGATACATGTAACAAGGCTACAACTGTCAACAACCTGGAATATAATTCTGAATACAAAAACATTAAAATACGAAACAATTCCAACAGTGTGTGAGCGAAAACTCATTATCGTGTGTAAACCATTGAAATATAAATGTGCTTTACTAGACGTTGGATAGATAGAAAGAGAGGAAATAAACAATATATGTAATAAGAGAAAGTGTGAAACTGTGTGACTAAAATTGATATGATTATGAGCAGCAATAATTTATTCTCGAAACCATGCCATCCAGTTATTGATACTGTGTGTGATATTTAAAATAAACTTATCCAATTATGAAATCACATTCTACCACCACAGTGTGCCCGAGTTCTACACT